TATTACTAATTGAGAATTCTACATTATATCTGATGAACATAGGTTATATATAGTATTTTCAAAAAAGTTAGGGTTCCTTATAGAAACTTCGATAATGTAACCCAACGTGTGTAAAAAATACTAAAAAATAACCTTATATCGCGTACGCTGTGGAAGTCATTGACAATAGAGCAAAGTGATGTACTAAAGTTTTATAGAGGACATCAATATCTACGAAATAGTCTGAAAGAAAGAAAGAAAGCAATAAATTTTATTGACCAATAGACCATAACTAAACTAATATTAACAGTATTTTTAACCTAAATAAAAACAATAAAAAAAAATATATTTTTTGGTCAACTAGGTCCCTGCCTCAGCTTGATACTGCAGCAACACCAGCGCTGCAGCAGCCCTTAAGGGTTGATGACACAGATGAGACATTATAATAAAATATAAGTTAAGAATAGTCTGATAAGACTACAAACCGGATGTGAGTAACGTAGCACTTCCGGTTTTCGAGAAATCACGTGATTTCTATTTTAAACGAAGCCACACAAAATCTCCGAAGTTCTCAATTAATTAAATACTTTTTTTTTTTTTTGATGAACATTTGGTTCACTGGTTTGCTAGTGTAGCCTAATAGCCTCCTTCGATAAATGCCCTATTCTACTCAAAAATATTTTTTCTAATCAAAACAGCAGAGCAATGGTGCATTTGGCACAACGGTTCCTAAATATATATTATCATCATCATCATCAGCCTATTAATGTCCCCGCTTTTGGGGCACAGGCCTTCCCTAAGGATGGAATAGGGAGATTGGGCCATGACCCACCACGCGGGCCCAGTGCGGATTGGTGGGTGCTAACGACTGCAGATGCAGCCGGGACCAACGGCTTAACGTGCCTTCCGAAGCACGGAGGAGCTCGAGATAGTAAATTTTTGGTCACCCATCCAATGACCGACCACTGCGAAAGTTGCTTAACTTCAACGATCGCAGCCGAACGCGCTAACCACTTGCGCCATCGAGCTCCTCAATATATACACTTCTGGACACATCTATTGGCCCACCTTGTATTTTCAGTTTCGTTTGGTCCTAGCTAAAATTTTATATTAGGTCGAGCAAAAAGTTTTTATGCAGTTTTGGACCTGGCACATTCACAATTTCATTCAATAGTCTTTTTTGTTAATTTTGAACACAGAATTTAAAGAAACAAAAGACAATTTGGAGCCTGTTTATTGATATCAAACAATCGAATACTAAGAAAACTTGGTTTTATTGGTTTACTTGGATTTAATTCTTGAAAAAGTGATTGATATCTTTGGTTTTGCAACAAACATTACTTATTCTTAACATTAAGGTGAGATTCTATCAATAATCTATGGATACTTGACACCTGAAGTCGCCGCCCAAGCTGTGGCACTTATTCAGGCCGGACACAGCCAAAGAAACGTGAGTGCTCAACTTAATTTAAGTCGATCTGCGGTCCGAAATGTCTATCGAAGGTACCTAGAGACTGGCGGCTTTGTTCGTCGCCAAGGAAGGCCACGATCTCGGGTCGCAACTGAAAGGCAGGATCGATTCATCGTGACGACCAGCTTGAGAAATCGTCACCTTACCTCCATTGAGATACAAAACCAACTTCGCGACTTCCACGGAGTATCTATGAGCGCTCGAACTGTTCGGAGAAGGTTAAAAGAACGCGATATGGTACCACACAAGCCAGCTAATGGGCCCAAACTAACGCGAGCCCACCGAACAGCGCGCCTTCATTTCGCACGCAGTCATTTAAATTGGACACAGCAAGATTGGAGCCGTGTACTCTTTTCTGATGAGTCTAAAATTGTGTTACATGGCAATGATGGAAGGAAGAAGGTCTACCGACGTAAGGGAGAGCGTTTCGCACAATGCTGCTTTGAACAAAACAAAACAAAATTTTTACTTAGAACGGAAGGTTCATAATTATATGAAGAAAGTCATTGTGAGTCATACAAGCCTGAAAGCAAAAACTATAGTCTACACTACAGCTCTACACCGAAGCGAAGCGAGGGCGGGCCGCTAGTTTTCTATGTATTTTCTTCCTTTTGCAATCGGTTGAACATTTTTTGGTTACAAAAATTATTGTCCTTTGCCTACCACGCCATCTGTGTATAAAGTGTAACATTAAATGGCACTGCCCTCTAGCGACGAATAGCGAATAACGAAACTTGAACAATTTAGTTCGCTTTCCGCTTTCCATTTTCGGTGATGAGAAAAGTATGCCATCTACAGGATCAACTTGACTTCAAGTTATTTAAGCACACGAAACTAAAAGCACAGTAAACTATTTTCAATAGACAAATAATTTTGAATATTCTATTTGTTTCTTAGGTTTTCACGCACATCACTCATTAAATAACACAAGTTTCAACGGTATAGATGCACTGATTTATTTATTTATTGACATATCGCATCCTTTTCAGGATACGTCGTCTGAATTATGATTTTTTTTTACATACACTTGGTGTGTATCGCGTATGAATCCGCCGCTAGAGGCGCTAGTGTAGCGTGAGGTCTCCGAAATGTCAAATGTTATTGCTTGTTGGTTGACTACGCGGGTTTATTTCTAATTAAAATAATGTTGTGAATAATTGGTAACAATTCGACTTAATTATGACAAATATGAGTTATGTGGCAATGAATGTCAGTTATTAAAAATTTGAGCTTAGAAAAATGATTATGTTCCCATTTTTTCCGAATAAAACGGAACTGCGCGTCACTGTGGCATGGCCTATTATGTTTAGGATATGGTTCTTTTGTGTTAAAATACGATCTATATGTAATCTTTGATTTCATGTGCGTATTAATAAACTTTAAAAGTTACAATTTAGGACCTCACTCAACAGTGGCGCCATCTGGTGAGGCAGAAAACGGTAGCCCTCATTAGCCTAGCCCCAAAGTAAGCACTGTAAGGCTTCTGTTATGGAATACTAGGATAACGGATAGAATACATATACTATACATTATATAAGTATATTTGTATAGAAATACATATTTAACATCCATGACTGGAGTACAAATGCTCGTATTCATCACACAAACATCTGCCCCCACCGGGATTTCAACCCGGGACCTCTCGAGTTGGCAACACCATGAAACCCGGCGTACAAACCACTCGGCCACGGAGGTAGTCGTATTTACTTGAAAAGAATGCGAAACTTCAATAAATAAATAAGTCAGTGCATCTATACGGCTGAAACTTGTTTTATTCAATATATATATAATTCAAAAAAACTTGAACAAAGATTTTGCATACGTACTACTTTCTGCCTTTAGAAATGTCATCTTATCATCGAAATTTTAGAACATAATCTAAGAAAACATAATACGTAGTTCTTCATAACTTTATTTACTACGAGCTGACCCAGCGAACATCGTACCGCCATAAAAATAGAGGCAGTTGGTAGAAGAGAAAATTTAGGGTTGTATGTATTTTTAATACCACATTATTAAAAAATAGGGGTGTGTAGCGTAGTGTTCTATCAATTTCCTGGGATAACATTCCTCCTAACCCATATGGGAACACTACGTTACAATACCCAATAGTTTGAATTTTGGCGCGAAGGCGCATTGTAGGTTTCAGAACACTACGTTACAGGTGGACAACCATTATCAATTAAGGATATGAAAAATAGATAGTAGCCGATTCTCAGACCCACAGAATATGCATATAAAATTTCATAAAAATCGGTCAGGCCGTTTAGGAGGAGTATGGTAACTAACATTGTGACACGAGAATTTTATATATAAGATTACCAAACTTTCATGTCAATTCACTTGATCAAAATTTTCATATATTACACATATGCACTGCACTGCACTGTCCTGTATGGTTATTAAATACATCTTATTCGTTTTTTATTGGTAAAGAAAATTGATTTCGACTATTTTATCAACATAATAAGGCTCTTGATTAAGTTCTTTGAAGGCATTTTGTATTTTTTTCATTTATAAAATGTATTGGTGGTTTAACAACGTAAGATAAAATGCAGCTTTCATTTATTTAAATAGCAGGCTGATAACCACACAGACACCTTGATTCATTAATTTTATAAGGTTATAGTTACACTAACGGAGGAAAAAACTAGGACCATGTTAAATTTTACAGAACTATAACATACAAAACTTTACACACAATAGTTACACTTCATTTAAAAATCCCATTGTTTTATTTGCCTTTTTGTTTTTTCCAACACTCACACCAATTAGCCTAGCCCCAAAGTAAGCACTGTAAGGCTTGTGTTATGGGATACTAGGGTAACGGATAGAATACATATACAGTGCATATATAAGTATATTTATATAGAAATACATATTAATATTTGATTGTGTTAATAGGGATGATGGCTAATTTTTTTTTCTTCCTTTATCAGGATTATCAATAAGTCCTATTGGACACGTATTTTTTTCTTTTTTCATATAATATAAACATTGCTGAGATATAATGATTTCAAAAGCCGCATAATGTTACGTTTGAGTACACTTTTAAGTGACAATTCACTAAAAAGCGACTCCCAAACTTTGACGCGCTATAACTTTGTAATTTTTTAATTAATTGCCCAAAGAAAAAATACGTATCCATTAGTTTTTGAACATCTAACTGACGGACTAAATAGAATTTCGTTTACTGTACCCCGTCATCACCCCTATTATCCTCCGATTCCTCTATACCTGCCGTGTAAAACTACAATTCACACTTATTACGTACCAAAATTGAGGCCACACACTACTGCATGCCGTCACCAAGCGCACGCATACCCGTCTACACCTCACAATCGCCTCTTGGCATGGCACTGTTGGCACTCGGCGGCTTGACGCTGACGAGTGCGGTTCGACACTTGTATTCCGCCGCTCTCGACACTCGCATTCCGCACTCGACACTCGTGTGCCGCACTCGACACTCGTGTTCCGCATTCGACACTCGACATGGCATTGACTAGTGCTGTCGCTAATGCCGCTGCTGCCGCCGCCGCCGCCGGCGCAGGCAAGAAAGCGGCGCAAGTCCAGTTGCAGGCAGAATTAAACACTGACGAGGAATGGAACAAATTCCTGTTACGGGAAGGATTGCTGGGTGAGTTAATGTGCTTTAACCATTTTCCATTCTGGGGTCCATTTCCCAGTTGTAGGTTCATTTTTAACCTCCTAAACCTCTGAAGGCTTTAAATGTTTGCGAATTCGGTTTGTTTTTTTAACTGGTATTTAAATAAGCCAGAAAAATATTGAAAAACAGTAGATGTGGAGATTCTATTGTTTTCCAGATGTTCTACCAGTAGGACATTTCTATGCATAACCCGCCAGGGGTTAGGAGGATAAAACTTATTTCTTAAATTCTAGTCATGTTCCATCTGAAGAATTCTCCATAAAAAATCTCGATTTGACGTATCACATTTGCTGGTACCACGTTTTCTGGAAAAGCAGATAACTGGAAACTTGATTATAAGAAGTTCTTGCATTGTGTTTATTTTTGCAACATTAATCATCTTCAATTAGATTTCGACTTCATATTTTACTGAATCATAATTTGTTAATCATTTAACTCTATTTAAGACACATAATTATAATGCTATTTAATTTAAAACAATCATTTTGTGTGTCTATTGTCTGCAATTATTTACAGGTGTTATTTAATGTAGGTAATATTTGTAAATTATTAAGATTGAACTTGGTTTTGTAACTGTTTATGTATTGTTTAGTCCAGTTCCAATTTCTGTAATATGAACGAACGTTAGTCAACGGAAAACCAAAAACTAACATTGACTGTGATGTCGATTCTGGCATGATACTCTAAAGCTAAACCTTGATTTGACAACAGTGCATCCTTGTCCTTCTCAATACAGAATCAAAAAAGGTGAGACTGACCTTAAATTTAGTTTTAAGTTTAGAGAATCACGCCAGATTTGACACCTATCACTATTCAGAGATATTTTATTTTTATTTTATTTTAATAAAATAGGGAGAAAAAGTAGCCCTTGCTGAGTTTCTTGCCGATTCTTGTCAGTACAAGGTATCGCGTCATTGTTTTGCAAACCGATGGCGTAGTTTTCGACATTCAGATGTGCTTGTAAAAGCCTTAACTGAATAAATGTATATTGTTTTAAACTTTCATGGTCACTAACATTATAGTAATATAAGTTATTTACGGGATTGTTACCATGTACCCTGTTTTTAGCGAGTTTCCGATATTTCGGCACTGTTGCAAGCGCCATGATCACGGAGTAACAGAACCATTGCTCATATTTTGTGACATAATCATGAAATTAACAAAAATACATTTAGTAACTGTTACTCCGTGATCATGGCGCTTGCAACAGTGCCGAAATATCGGAAACTCGCTAAAAACAAGGTACATGGTAACAATCACGTAAATAACTTATATGTATTTTTTTAATTTCGTGATTATGTCACAAAATATGAGCAATGGTTCTTGATCTGTATGATGTAGTAGTGGACGTGTACACGGAATGGTGCGGGCCGTGCATCGGCATGGTGGGCAACCTGAAGAAGATCAAAGTGGAGCTGGGAGGAGACAACCTACACCTGGCGGTGGTGAGCTTTGTTTTTATATAAAACTAGCTGACCCGGCGAACTTCGTACCGCCTTAGCGTAGCTTTGATGCACTACTTTATTTTGTATAGCTGACCTATCTTATGTATGAGTACCTATTCAATTTGAACTGGAATCTATAATATCCTCCATATAAAAATGAATCCTTATTTCCCTGGTCTCGCCATACCTGAGGACTTTACTATTTTTTATTAAATAAAAAACAACATATATATTTTCATAATAGTCCGAAGGCACGTTAAGCCATTGGTCCTGGCTGCATCTGCAGTCGTTAGCACCCGCCAATCCGCATTGGGCCCGCGTGGCGGGTCATGGCCCAATCTCCCTATTCCATCCATAGGGAAGGCCTGTGCCCCAGCAGTGGGGACATTAATAGGCTGATGATGATGATGATGATATTGACTTTCAATATATTGGATGAAACGTAGTAATATTTTATTTTACCGTATTATAATAATAAGTCTCTGTCTAGGACGTCCAGGTGGCAGCTTTATTGCGAAGAAATTGATTTTTTTTACAATAGATGTCGCTAGGTGCGCTTAAATGTGATTCATGTAAGTTGATTTTTCTGAGAGATAAACTTTTTAATGTAATATGAATTGTCATGTTTGTGTACGATAGCGCAAAAAAAAATATTGTATTCTACCACATAAATTATAGTACTTTTATACTGATAATTAAAGCAATTCGTTCCAATGTATTCTCTAACCATTCCAAAATATCAAAAATGCACAATGTTTATTTTAATATTCAAGTTTTCACTTCTGCCGGCACTCACGGAGTGCAATCCGTCGTTATTTTTTCTATTTTTGTGTAAAAATCTTATTGCAGTTCACAGAATACATCTACTCACCAAGTTTCAACAGTATAATTCTTATAATTTCGGATGAAAGTGGGTGCGACATACGGACAGGCAGACAGACAGACAGATTTTCTTTATATTTTTTTCCGTAAGAACCTTGTACAGAGTATTAGAAAACTACAAAAAAAATCAGCCAAATCGGTCAAGCCGTTTTCATGTTATGTCGTGACAACGGAAAACGGGTTTCATTTTTATATATATAGACTAGCGGCCCGCCCTCGCTTCGCTTCGGTGTAGAGCTGGCGCGTAGACTACAGTTTTTGTTCTCAGGCTTGTATTATACACAATGACATTCATCTATGATTCTTTTTATACCTGCATGCAAAGTCTCAGCCCGGACGGTTTAAAATTGACAAAGTTTCATACAAACTTTCATTCCCTATTTTATCCCTTTGGGGGTAGAATTGATGAAAACCCTTTCTTAGCGGATGCCTACGTCATAACATCTACCTGCATGCCAAATTTCAGCCCGATCCGTCCAGTGGTTTGGGCTGTGCGTTGATAGATCACTATGTCAGTCAGTCACCTTTGAGTTTTATATATATAGATAGATTGAATAGGTGCTTGTTTAACAGGCAGGAGCCTGTGAAAGCGTTGCCCAGGGTAGCCAACCGGTCCCGGCTATATCTGCAGTCATTAGCACCCACCAAGGCGTAGTGGGCCCACTTGGTGGGTCATCCATATAATATTAATGGCGCGAGTGATATTTATTACGTTCGGCTGCGATCGTTGAAGTTAAGCAACTTTCGCAGTGGTCGGTCATTGGATGGATGACCAAAAATATTCTATCTCATGTTCCTCCGCGCTTGGGAAGGCACGTTAAGCTGTTGGTCCTAGCAGCATCTGCAGTCGTTAACACCCTCCAATCCGCACTGGGCCCGCGTGGTGGGTCATAGCCCAATCTCAATTCCATCCATAGGGAAGGCCTGCTCCAGCAGTGGGGACATTAAAAGGCTGATGATGATGAGGGTCTGATCTAAAGTATGATCTATCTGCCTGAGAAAGTAAGCAGCTGTCACATTCTTTGTATTTTATCGCTCCCAGTATGATCAGAGTTTATTTAGTAAGACTCAAGCAACACACACTGCATATATGAAATTGATACCTTGGCCTCAAGCTGAAAACCAGCGTAATAGCATATGGAAGCTGCAGACTTTTTTGCCACTGCAACAATTTTATTTTTGTAGTTGATGCTGTCATTTTTATGTTGAAGTTGTTCTTCCGTCGGCAAAATAAATTGTGTTTCTTTCTTTCTTGCTAGTTTGAATAGTACATTGACATGTATGTAATAATTCTTCCTCTCACACAGGCCAAGTCCGATACGATTGAGTGTCTGAAGAGGTTCATAAAACGCAGCGAGCCAACATGGATGTTCATTGCGGTAATTAATCTAAAAACTATAGTGCCATTAATTAATATATTAAAATTATATTTTCTAGGGTTTAAATCGGGAGCAGTGGCGTGCATTAGGGGAGACCTATGTCCAGCAGTGGACGAACATGGGTTGATGATGACATACATGTACATCAACGATATTAAAACCCCCAATATAAAAACGCATCCGAAAAAAATCTAAACGAGTATCGTTAAGGGTCTTCTTTCATGTAAATTCTTACCCAGTAAAAACATCGTCATCATCATCAATGTCCTCACTGATGGGGCACAGGCCTTCCCTATGGATGGAATAAGGAGATTGGGCTATGACCCACTACGCGGGCCCAGTGCGGATTGGCGGGTGCTAACGACTGCAGATGCAGCCAGGGCCAACAGCTTAACGTGCCTTCCAAAGCACGGAGGAACTCGATATAGAAGATTTTTTGTCACCCATCCAATGACTGACCACTGCAAAAGTTGCTTAACTTCAACGATCGCAGCCGAACGCGCTAACCACTTGCGCCATCCAGCTCCTCGACAGACATTGCTTATCATCAAACCAACCGCCAACTCGAGCATTCAACATCTGTTCCAATCACACACACGTAACATGACAAATGAAAATCGACCTAGTCGCGTGCACTGCTGAGTTTAAATCAGGCCGAGTGAGAAATAGGAAATGGCGTGTAAGGATAGGAGATAATACTCATATGTAGAGTTTTGGTGGAATGGTACGAGTGTGGACGGTATCGATTAAACACGTCTTCAAAAATCACTTTGTCACGTTCCAAATAAAGTGAAAACCCCATTAGTAAAATAGAATGCATAGCGTACACAGATACACCATGAAAGTTCTATAACATTGAACTGTTACAAAATGACACTGGTGTTCGGGATGTACTGAAACTAAGATACTGATAAAATGATAAACTTGATAACTTAACTTAAAACAATACTAATTGATATAAAAATGATTGTTATGAATGAGTATGAGAACATGTAAGTAATTGACGATTATTGAAAATAATAAAATAAGGTCAACTAGTAAAATGATGAGCGGGCGAAATGTACGTAGCTTGCTCGTACAACTGGAATATGTTTGAATTAATATTGCACAAGTCTCCTGTCTGTTCTTTATGGCACGCAATTCCAAATTACTTTTCGTCCTGTTGAAAATTAAATTGTCAACTATTCTTCAGTCAGATAGACAGATAGGAAGATAGCGTGATTTTGCCACTTTAGGTAAGAAAATCGAAACAATGAAGATAATAGACCGGAGTAAACAAGAAAAATTTTTATGGTCTCACATCGACTCCTCCGAAGATGGTACCTTTGAGGTTTAATCAGAAACTGCGATACCATTTAAACCTTTGTTGCGATAAAAAATCGCCAATAGATATAGTGAAGCGGAAATAAGTCACCTTCCATCACTATGATAATGAATGCACTGAAATGAAAACCTTTACTAGCCATCTTATAAATAAAAAAACATATGAACGAAAACATAAAATTAAAGCGAAACTTGACTTAAGAACAAAAAATAATAACACTAAAACTAAGACGGCCAATGAGGACCCTGCCTCAGCTTATGCTGACACAGTGGGAGAATACTCTCTCACTGTATCAGCGCCGGTATTTTGGCGCATCATAGACATAACCATCAAGGTACAACTTCCGAGTGATAATCGAGGCTAGCGCGAAGTCTTGGCGTAATCGAAATCTCTTCTTCTTCCTATAGTGCCTCTCCATTACCGAAGTTTGACGCCATCAATTCGGAGAACAAATCTCGGTCCTTCGTGAGGCAACACAGTTCAGGGGCTCTGTTGATGCCGGTCCACTCGTGGTTATTGCGCAACCACGACTGATCTTCTCCCCTGCACCTTGCCCATAATTTTCATTTAAGTCAGGAGTTGATATCTATTATTTCACATAATGTGACCCAGAAATCCAACTTTTCTCTGTTTGACGGTCTGCATGATTTGACATTTCTCACCAGTGGGTCTATTCGCTAACCGCTTTTGACAGATGGAAGTGATAATCACCGAGCTATTTAGTGATCCACTACTGCTTTATTATAACGCCACTAAAATACTTGTTCTGAAAAGCATCGATGGATATGCAATTTTCTCTATAGTTACACAGTGTTAATGTCAAAAAAGTTAGCGAATAGGCTCGCAGTTCGACGGAGAACTTCATCCTTCCTCTATATCTCTTCCACTATATCTATCTATCTATATCGAAATCTCTGAAGTCCCGATTTAAGATTTCCCAATCAATGTTAAATGAGGAGCTTACAACCAAAACGGCATAATTACATAAATAATAAAATTTTACAGGAGCTTTATAAAACTGAATGACATACCTCCAGTGAGCTTTTGGCATGGTTTTAAATTTAGTAATTTTAACACTGTTTTAGGCGGTTTTTATTGAAAATTATTTGAGATTCTACGGGTCTAAAACCTCCGGACTCAATTAAAAGTAGTATGCGTAACTAGCGGCCCGCCCTCGCTTCGCTTCGGTGTAGAGCTGTAAAATTGACAAAGTTTCATACAAACTTTCATTCCCTATTTTATCCCCCTATTATATTATATTGGGGGTAGAATTGATCAAAATCCTACGTCGGCGGATGCCTACGTCATAACATCTACCTGCATGCCAAATTTCAGCCCGATCCGTCCAGTGGTTTGAGCTGTGCGTTGATAGATCACTATGTCAGTCGGTCACCTTTGAGTTTTATATACATTATATAGATTATACCGTGTTGTTCGCCAGCTCCTCAAATGACCTCTTCAAAGATTTTCTTAAATAATTTTAACATTTTGCATTATGGAGACAGTCAGGTCAGCTGCTGAACGTGGTGTTTGGAGCGGACGCGCCACGCCTGACCAGAACCATCGAGCAAGAGCTCCGCAACGAGGAACTCGCCAAGAAGGGAGAGTTGCAACGCCCACAGAGGGCGCCACACGAGCTCACGCCACCAGAACAGGTACAACAACCACCAGGTCCGCCATAAATATAGTTCTTTTCTGTAGCTGCAAAAGTAGGTAACTTACTAACCTTCTTTTCGATGAGCGTTGTGACCATCATCGCCTATTAATGTCCCCACTGCTGGGGCATAGGCCTTCCCTATGGATGGAATAGGCAGATTAGGCTATGACCCACCGGGCCCAGTGCAGATTGGTCAGTGCTAACGACTGCAGATGCAGCCGGGACCAACGGCTTAACGTGCCTTCCGGAGCACGCAGGAGCTCGAGATAGTAAATTATCAGTCACTCATCCAACGACCGACCACTACGAAAGTTGCTTAACTTCAACTATCGCAGCCGAACGTGCAATCCTCTTGCACCATCGAGCTCCAGGCGGGTGGTTGCGTTGTGACCGCTTTGCTAAAATCGAATCAGGAACAACATTAGCGTGATCCATTTGATCCAACGACACACACAAAGATATCTTTATTCAAATTGGAAACATATTATAACTCTTTTTGGATCGTTAAATTTGGACAAAAAACACAAATATTATAACTCACTTTTAATCCTACAAAAAATCGGGCCGTTCTATACCAGAGTTCAAAATCACGACCGCTGCGCGAACCGTTTGTCAATGCAAATAAATATCATTATTCTAATACATTTTATGCCAAAGAGGAGATGGCGCAGGTAGAAGTTAAGCAACTTTAACAATATTCGGTCATTGGATGGGTGACCAAAAACTTATGATCTCGACCTCCTCCATGCTCCGAAAGGCACGTTAAGTTTTTGATCCCAGCTTCTTCTGCAGTCGTAAGCACTTACTAATCCGCACTGCCACACACAAACTCCCAAATCCATCCATAGAATATGTTTTTTTTCCTAAATGGCTTCCCGCAGCTTGTGCATTTAACCAATGTCAAGTGTTAAAATGTTTACAAATTCTATAGCACTCGTGGTCAAAGTAATAAATCAAATCAAAGTAAGTGGCAGTCAAGTCAATTCCCCTTTCCCTATGTTTCAGTAAATGTGTGGGGATTTACTGGAACCTCCCCGTGGACTTCTTGAGGGAACGTCGAAAGTCACTTTCCGCTATTTTGTTTCACTTGTGCATGTTCCCGAACACTTAGTGGTTAATAATCCACCTTATTTAGACACTAACATACGCCAAAACACAATTTTTAACAATAAAAACAAAACTGCTAAAGTGACGCTTCCCGATCCCGCCAAAAAGTCCATAGAATATGTTGTGTCAGGAGGTGGCTAACGCCCAAGAGAAGCTTCAGCAAGAGCGTGCTGCCCGCGAGGCGGCGGCGGTGGAGGCGGCGCGGCTGGCGAGGCGCGAGGCGCGCGCCACCCGCCTCGAGGCGCACTTCGCCGACATCTGCCCCGTGCTCATGATGCCGCACGCGCAGAAGATGCTCAGGAAAATCTCCGACACATTGGAACAGAACGGTTAGCATTTTGTTTCGTCCTACAACCTTTAATCACTGTTCTGCCGTCCTTAAACTAAAGTGCGGTAAGTGACATTTGGTCGATTTTTCTGTCTTAAATTCCATCTTATATAGGGTTACCAGATGATAAAATGAAAGGTCCGGAGAAAAGGTTTGATTTCCATTGAAAAATCCTGAGATTTTATACAGTTTGAGAATTTTCTCTCAAACGTACTTAACAATTTAAAAAAGTCGTAATATTATCGTTTATACTGTGCTTATACTTTTAAATCAATATAATTTGAAGAGCTTAAGATGTAGGGCATTATAAGAAAGTTTAATTAAAGAACAAACCTTACTTAAAAATGTATCTTCAGATATTAAGTATGATAAAACTGATTAAGTACTGACTTGGATAATAAAGTACTGATTTTAATTGTGCAATTAGGTATTACCTGGGGTACCTTGGGGGTAGAATTGATCAAAATCCTTTCTTAGCGGATGCCTACGTCATAACATCTACATGCATGCTAAATTTCAGCCCGATCCGTCCAGTGGTTTGGGCTGTGCGTTTATAGATCACTATGTCAGTCAGTCACCTTTGAGTTTTTTATATAAAGACTAGCTGACCCAGCGAACTTCGTACCGCCCTAAAAAAATAGGGGTTGTGCAGCGGACAAAATTGTAAATCTAAACCATTCCCAGATCCCCTTGAACACACACAAAAAATTTCATCAAAATCGGTCCAGTCGTTTAAGAGAAGTTCAGTGACATACACACTCACAGTAGAATTATATATATAAAGACTAGCTGACCCAGCGAACTTCGTACCGCCCTAAAAAAATAGGGGTTGTCCAGCGGACAAAATTGTGAATCTAAACCATTCTCAGATCCCCTTGAACACACACAAAAAATTTCATCAAAATCGGTCCAGTCGTTTAAGAGAAGTTCAGTGACATACACACTCACAGAAGAATTATATATATAAAGACTAGCGGCCCGCCCTCGCTTCGCTTCGGTATAGAGCTGAAGTGTAGACTACAGTTTTTGGTCTCAGGCTTGTATTATACACAATGACATTCATCTATGATTCTTCTTATACTTGCATGCAAAGTCTCAGCCCGATCGGTTTAAAATTGACAAAGTTTCATACAAACTTTCATTACCTATTTTATCCCCTTGGGGGTAGAATTGATCAAAATCCTTTCTTAGCGGATGCCTACGTCATAACATCTACCTGCATGCTAAATTTCAGCCCAATCCGTCCAGTGGTTTGGGCTGTGCGTTGATAGATCACTATGGCAGTCAGTCACCTTTGAGTTTTATATATATACTCGTAGATATAGATTTAATATTTTGAAATTCCCCATTCCAGGATTAATGGTAGCTGACAAGTGTCCTTTACTGTTGGGTAAAGATGGAGCCAAAAGACTAGCCCTGGAAGACCCGGAGCTGAACTCTGCAGCCGCCGTCGGCGTACTGAGTGAGCGGCCAGCACTCACACTGCTTCTGAAGAAGATGGCAGAGAAAGAGGGCAATATTATTGGTAATATTCGTCGTTCGCTTTTTGCTTGCAGTGGTACCATTTTTATTGTTTCGTCAACCTTAATTAACTCCTTGCGTTGCCATATAATAGGGGTGATGACGGGGTACAGTAAACGAAATTCTATTTAGTCCGTCAGTTAGATGATCAAAAAATAATGGACACGTATATTTTCTTTGGGCAGTCAACCAAAAAATGACAAAGTTATAGCGCGTCAAAGTTTGGGAGTAGGGGCGCGTGACGTCACTTTTGAGTGAATTTTCCCTTATAAGTGTACTCAAACGTGACGTCATGCTACTTTTCAAATCAATATATCTCTGCAATGTTTATATTATGTGAAAAAAGAAAAAATACGTGTCCAATACTTTTTTCATCCCACCACCTCGGAAAGTGTAATTTTGCGCTTCGAAATCTGGCTGGAAAATTCTATTTTATTCGCTTGAGCGGCAAAGTAGATTTGAATTTAGAACATCACATATAATGAGTACTCAATATAATTGTAAATTCAAAACGTCATTAAACCTATTTAATGTAACCTCTATGGTGCCAAATTTATGATTAGAACTTTTTAAATTGTGAAAAAATTTAAATTTGGAACCTTCTTGGTTTCTTTGTTTTATTTGCGTGCTTCGCGCCATTCTAGTTTTTCACGTTTTATTGCTTAAATATTTTGTCATTATAAATTGTTTTCTTTTTCATTTTGTCATTTCCTCGCTGAGGTGGGATGAAAAGTTACGTATTGCACTCGAGTGGAAAGATTTTTCACCTTGTGCTCGTTTGTTTCCCTCGCTGACGCTCAGGATTCTAATTTAGAATCACTCGCTGCGCTCGTGATTCAACTTTAGAATCCTTCGCTTGCTCGGTCATCCAAATCGAGCACGCGGTTAAAAAGGAACTTTCCACTCTTGTATAATAAATAACTATTGATAATCTACCTGATAAACGAAGAAAAAAAAATAGTCATCATCCCTATTCTTAACAGACATTTCTTTTGAATTCCTTTAAAATTTTGTATACATAATCCGCATGAAATTATATTACCTTGTTTTTTAGATCATGAATGTTATTATCGTCTGTATAAGATAAAAAAGATTTATCACAATAATTTGTTAACGATATCTGCGGTCTTGAGTAACCATTAATCCACGATGGGCGGGCGTAATACTTCAAAGCCCATTCTCTCTAAGTTGATCTATCTGCAACGATAGGGAAGATCTGTGCCAAATTACTAGTCATTAAATAAAACTAGTTTTTTTTTACGGGTTATTGCACGAAATTTTATTTATTTATTGACGTTTCGCAACCTTTACAGGCTGCGTCGTCGGAATAATTTTTTTCTTTAATTTTGTCGAGCTACCTTCGAAAGACTTTTATTGGGCGTTCGGTTATTTCATTGTTCGATTTTTAAAGTTTTATTGTCTATGTATGAATTTATTACTAAATTTAGTTAATAAAGTACTTTATTCTTATCAAAATCTTTTTTGTAATTTTGAAATTATTTCTAGTAGTTAACTACCGTAAACTACCACCGGTTCCAAAATTGGGAGACCTTTCTGAGAAGAACCGGCGAAACAAACTCAAGAGAGGCTTTCTATCTCCTTCTTATGTTAAATTATGCAAACAAAAAGAACTAATAGTATCTGTTGGTCTTGCAGTGTGTGTTCGGTAAATAAAGTTTCGTGCATTAACCCGTGAAAAACTAGTTTTATTTAATGAGTGATGTGCGTGAAAACCTAAGAAACAAATAGAGTCATTAAACTGAAAATGATGATGACATTCCTGATTCGTTTTCTATTGTTCGCAGAGCTAACCCGACGAGCTCTCTGTGGCGATAGCGATGACGAGGAATCTGTTAAGAAGAGTCTTTACGAAGAGCTTAAAGTCGACTCCATCCCTGGGGTGTTCGTCCCCGTGGACAGGCACCAGCGAGCTGCAGCTTTGGATGTGTTATTCCCCAAGGTACAGCTCTATTTTTGAATCACTCGTCTTGCGTCGAACGCTCGATTTCTACTAAATTTCATTCGACATAATAATTCCGTATTTTTGAGTCGCTCGAGTGCAACGAATGGGTGTGACCACTCGCTGCATGGCGAATGGTGGAGGCGAATGATAGAATAATTGTCAAATTTTTTTGTGGTATTAGACGGCGATAATCTATCATTGTCATGCTTTATATGAAACGACAAAGAGTAGTAGTAATTATGGGTTTTTATTATTTCTGCGTGAAATGAGTAAAATTTCGTATTTCGTATCAAACAGGTAACACTGGTGACGAGTGATTCAAAAATACGGAAAATCAGTATTATGCGACTTGAAAGTGGAAGGTGACTGATGTCGCATTCTACGATACTATGTCAGACGAGTGATTCAAAAATAGAGCTCCTGTACTTTAGACGAGTTGATGTTAAAGCGAGACATCGCATACACATAGACCGGCATTCCGCTTAAATGGCTGTTTTAGCCTGGCATTAAGAGCGGACGCGAGCTAGGAGATATTTCAGAAATAAGTGTTTGAAAAAACTATTGCTGGCACGCATTGGCAAATACCATGCGATAGGGATAATAGTAGCTAACGCTGAAAATTGGATATAATATTTGCAAAATTTGAGGTTTAGCTCTCGACGAAATAAAGTATTTGATTGATTGATTGACGATTGCCACCTCGAAAATGAGATATATGTGAAATAAATTTTACCTATCGAATAATAAGTAGTTATTCTAGGTCTCTATGTTTTCAAATCATGGTCATTATCTTTATACAGAGTGAAATAATATTTCGCTGTCACTACAATTGACAATGGTGTCGATTCTGGCAGAATTCTAAATTTGACATCAGTCTGTCCTTTTCAGTCTGTATATAGAATGACAGAGTTACACTGTTGTCAAATTTAAGTTTAGCTTTAGAGAATCATGCCAGAATCGACACCAATGTTGCAATAAGTCTATTAATACAAAACAGATAACTTACGTAGAATACAACTGCGTTATTAGGGTTTGAATAATAAAACTAGGCAATTGCTTTTCATTCAATCAATTTATGCTTTGGTTGCGACCTCTACTTGTTACTTCATAAAACTTATTCCGTTGCAGTTTTAGCGTGCATGCTTTAGATGTCAGTACTCTCTTTGTGAATTGTCGAATGAACTTTGAATTGCATAAGCTCCTTCAGCTCCACATACAAATTTATCGTTTTCCACAAACTCTTTCGTCAAGCTATCGTCAATAATCGATCGCGCTCCGTTAGGCACACGATTCTTTTGAGAAATTTCTGGCTTAGACACATTGTATTGTATCAATCGTAAATATTTTCTCAGCAATAAATTTTTATTAACTGTTATTTTTTTTCATTCGATTAACTACATGAATATTGATCAAATTAACTAATTTATCTATTACATCTTACAGAGCCAAGAAATATAAGACAAAAAAGAACAATTCTTTGATCTGTCAATCGACATTAACTTAATGTAATGATGATCAAACAAACATGAACCTTTTTGTGGCAAAATGAATCAGTTTAATTTTTATATAACTACCTATCTGTTTGACAAGAATTCGTTCATTTTCCCAATTTATTAAAGTTAGTTTTTATTTAGTTTATCGTGTTTCGTTGATATTGGGCCTGCGAAATGTCAATAGGCTGATGATGATGCTATCGTCTATCGTCTATAGACACGCAACCCGAAATTTGAATTCATTCCGTCGCAATCTAAGCCATGTTTGCCGCAGAACCGATAACCTTTGGGGTAGCCGAGTTCTGAGTGAAGACCGCGTCTAGGCAAACGTAGTGTAGGACGTCCTCAGGCGCGATGGAGTGACGATTTGCGCAAAGTAGAGGCTACTCGCATCTACCTTGCGCAAATCGATCTGAGTGGCGTGCAATTGGAGAGGCCTATGTCCAGCAGTGGACTAAGATAGGCTGTTAATGATGATGATTGATGTAATTCATTACGATAGAACTAATTCATATTTCCAACACTAATTTTAACGCATATAGCACCAAAACTGTACGAGCACCTACCTACATTACTTATTTTATGTTATATTAACCTAATTATTTTGATAACCGTGCATGCGTAACTGCGTAGCGCGTCTCAAATTTACAGATATTATTTTAGTGCAATAAACATATTCAATACGAACGGCCTAAATTTTTTACATACCTTCGTCTGACAGTTGCATTCCCGAAACATTAAATATACACAATTGGGTACGAGCCCCAATATTGGTCCTTCGAGCCGGATTCGGCTTCATCACTCGAAGCTTCGTCGCGCAGGTTTTGGAGAAGTTAGGAGACTGTTGGGTGCGGAGACGCGGCAGAATCCCTAAACGGGGATCCCGCGGCTTCGCACTTAGCAGCTAAGAGGGTATTCGCAGAGATTTTAGCGGATATTATGCCGTAAAGCGTCCGCAAGAGTTACTGGGTCCTCAGTGCGCAGCCGTAAGGCCCGTAAGGCTTGCGGGAGCCAGGTGAGGTCCGTTCGGCGGTGTGCCTCTTAAAGGCGCCGTCGTCTCTAAATAGAGGTTTTTTTTCCATAATATTTTTATTCAATTATTTACAATATGTCTCTTTAACTAGGTTACTCTTATTCAAATTTCAACGTGTTTAATAATATACTGTCCGTGCTCGAGGCTGCTATTTGATACAGCCAGGGGCGCGGACAGAAGTCTGAAAGAGGAATCATAGAAGGATAGTAAAGATAAAAGTAGGTGTACAAGAAAATAGGGAGGTCAAAAACAAAGTAAAGAAAAGTTGATTCACATTAGTCCCGTTAAATACTACTCGTTTGCTTCGAGTTGGCCGTCGATAGCCAATCACAGGCACATCAACTGCACATCAATCACATCATCGGCACATCAATAGAGGTTTTGCCTGCGTAAAAAAAAGGTGTTGATTTGCATCAGTCTATGTTATGTACCGCAGATGGTAAGCGCGTTAGTAGAGCCGCCCGCCCCAGTGGAAGCTCCGCATGTGGCGGTAGTTTTCGGAGCGTGGCAGCGGCGTGCGGTTATCAACGCATGCGCAGAAGCAGCGGCGGGCCGCGTGCTGCGCTGCGGGTTCTTCGCCGACGCTGACGTCAGCCAACCGCGATTGCTGTGCAAGACCTTAGAGCAATACGACGAGCGCGTGGAGAAGGACTAGTGAGTGCAAACTATATCCTAAGACTGTTAATCAGGAAGCTCTGACGTGGCGATAGTGTTCGCCGCGTGCTGCGCTGTGGGTTCTTCGCCGACGCCGATGTCAGCCAACCGCGATTGCTGTGCAAGACCTTGAAGCAGTACGACGAGCGCGTGGAGAAGGACTAGTGAGTGCGAACTATATCCTAAGACTGTAATCAGGAAGCTGCGACGTGGCGATAGTGTTCGCCGCGTGCTGCGCTGCGGGTTCTTCGCCGACGCCGATGTCAGCCAACCGCGATTGCTGCGCAAGACCTTGGAGCAGTAAGACGAGCGCGTGGAGAAGGACTAGTGAGTGCGAACTATATCCTAAGACTGTTAATCAGGAAGCTCCAACGCGGCGATAATGTTCGACGCGTGCTGCGCTGCGGGTTCTTCGCCGACGCCGACGTCAGTCAACCGCGATTGCTGTGCAAGACCTTGGAGCAGTACGACGAGCGCGTGGAGAAGGACTAGTGAGTGCGAACTATATCCTAGACTGTTAATAAGGAAGCTCCGACGTGGCGATAATGTTCGCCGCATGCTGCGCTGTGGGTTCTTCGCCGACGCTGACGTCAGCCAACCGCGATTGCTATGCAAGACCTTGGAGCAGTACGACGAGCGCGCGGAGAAGGACTAGTGAGTGAGAACTATATCCTAAACTGTTAATAAAGAAGCTCCAACGCGGCGATAGTGTCCGCCGCGTGCTGCGCTGCGGGTTCTTCGCCGACGCCGACGTCAGTCAACCACGATAGCTGTGCAAGACCTTAGAGCAATACGACGAGCGCGTGGAGAAGGACTAGTGAGTGCGAACTATATCCTAAGACTGTTAATCAGGAAGCTCTGACGTGGCGATAGTGTTCGCCGCGTGCTGCGCTGCGGGTTCTTCGCCGACGCCGACGTCAGCCAACCGCGATTGCTATGCAAGACCTTGGAGCAGTACGACGACCGGGTGGAGGAGGACTAGTGAGTGCAAACTATATCCTAGACCGTTAGTTAGAAAGCTTCAACGCGGCGATAGTGTTCGGCGCGTGCTGCGCTGGAGTTCTTCGCCGACGCCGACGTCAGCCAACCACGATAGCTGTGCAAGACCTTGGAGCAGTAAGACGAGCGCGTAGAGAAGGAACCGAATTCTCGATGGCCTTAGTAGAACCCAGATCCGATAGAAGCCACGTAAGTAGCATTCATAGTTTTCGCCCACGCTGATGTGACCCAGCCGCGGCTGTTATGCAAGACCCTTGAGCAGTACTAGCGAGTGGAAAAGGAGAGGTAAGTGCCTACCGAATCCTAGATAGTAGACGCGGTAGTCGTAGCGATGACGTTCGGCGCGTGTTGCGCTGTGGCTTCTTTGCCGACGGCTGATGTGCAAGACCTTTGACGACGACCATGACGACCTCCGGGCCGAGTGGTTTGTACGCCGGGTTTCATGGTGTCACCGACTCGAGAGGTCCCGGGTTCAAATCCCGGTGGGGGCAGATGTTTGTGTGATGAATACGAGCATTTGTACTCCAGTCATGGATGTTTAATATGTATTTCTATAAAAATATACTTATATATGTACAGTATATGTATTCTATCCGTTACCCTAGTATTCCATAACACAAGCCTTATAGTGTTTGCTTTGGGGCTAGGCTGATTGGTGTGAGTGTTGAATTTTTTTTATTTTTGATTATTTATTTATTTTGAGAGGGTGGAGATCCTTCTCCAGTGAGTACGAACCGAATCCTAGAAAGAAGACGAAAAAGATTAATGAGTGCTAGCTGTATGCTGGGTAATGGGCGCCTTAATTGAATTTCTCCATATGGCTACCGCGTCTACGCTACGTGTTGTAGTGTGTACGCGGTGTTAGGTATGGAACACTATAGAAGTTTGGTAACGACAGCGTTGGTAGCGACGGTTTGGAGTCTGAACAAACGTAACGTCTGAACAAGCCGACACCGGCCCGGGTGAAAACAGTCTCGTTAACAAGCGCCCTTAGGCCCTACCAGAATATGAGCGCTATGGCATTGTGCTGAGGCAGGGAACTGGTAAGCCTTATTTATTTATTTTGGTTACATAGAAGACCAACAGCTTATCTTAATAAATTAGAAATGAATAGTAGCGACAAAGAGCCAATTACAGGTCCTCACATCTAGACATAACTTAAAGTTATAAAGAAACTATTTGCACTGTCCAATGTAAAAAAAAACTCTTAAAAATAGTTTTAAAAATGAGGTCTTTATGATAAATAACAGAATGAAAAATAGGGTATGTGACAGTATTAAAAATAAAGTGCAAATTGTTAGCATCTGTGTTTAGATTAAATATTGGCAGATGTTTTTATTATTTTAAAAAAAATATTCATAATTTTACTAAAACCCCTCGAAAAGATAAGTTTTCTTATCTATTGTCACGTGACCCAAAACACTAGGGATTGGCGGAGCCTAAAATGACGTCACACGCAAGTAAACTTCCGGTTAAAGTGACATTACATAGATCGTTTGACGTTTTAATAACAGTCGTGTGGCATCACACACTAGTAAGACGCCATATTGTCCAGAGAAACGTTTTCGCGGCAACTTGAAAATGGAGTTTTTGATTTGGTTATTTTTACTGAAAACAACAGAATGATGAATATCCACTTTTTACGGACTCCATAAACATTAGTCAATAACGTGAGATCGTTGCCTAAAACTTGTCAAATACCGTATTACGCACTTGTTAATTATAATCTCCAAAAAACAAACGAGCAATGATACGTCTTATGGACGCTCCGCTAGTGTTAAAAAGATCGAAATTTACCTATTTTGATAGTGAATTGAAGCTACTACTTGCTCGACAAAGAAAAGCCTTCTATATTATAGATTTCTTTGCCTATTCATCTTATTGCCTTGCCTTGTTGAAGGTTAATAAAATCTTTCTTTCTCCGTCTCTTTGACACAGTTGTGAGACCATAGTACTGATGATAGCTATGGGTCTAGCGGAGCCCGAACTGGCGGAGAGCGATGCGATATTCCCATCCGGTTTACCCCCGGAGCTGACGGCGCTGGGTCCGCTTCATGTGTCCGCGGATACTGTAGAAGGAGCGGTAGAATGCGCGCGGTTCTTCCCGCCCGGATATAACGCGCCCGAGAAGACGCATAAGGCTCGCGCCAAGAAGAAGAGGAAGGTATAAGATTACTCTTTCTTTAGTTAACTGTGTTGGATATATTGGAGGAGCTCGATGGCGCACGTGGTTAGCGCGTTCGGCTGCGATCGTTAAGTTAAGCAACTTTCGCAGTGGTCGGTCATTGGATGTGTGACCAAAAATTTATTATCTTGAGCTCCTCCGTGCTTCGGAAGGCACGTTAAGCAGTTGGTCCCGGCTGCATCTGCAGGCGTTAGCAACCACCAACCCGCGCGTTGGGTCATGGCCCGATCTCCCTATTCCATCCATAGGGAAGGCCTGTGCCCCAGCAGTGGGGACATTAATAGGCTGATGATGATCTAGAGTTATGATGAAATGCCGAAGTTTCTCTATTTAGTGGGTGCTAACGACTGCATTGTGAAGGCCTATCAAAAGTAATTATTAATCTGGAACAACGGAACCAAAGCGCGATTCAGGAGACTACAGCGCCATCTCTTGACCATTGGTGTAGTAGAACCAAAAACCACATCTTTATTTTTAGTAATAAAGTAACAGTTATAGGTATTCATATTTATAATATTTATCCACATGTTTCTAGTTTGTATATTCGGAATACGTGTTTGAGTTTCATACAAGTGCAAATCACATATGTTCTGATAAATTATATTCAGTAGCGATTTTAATTGAATATTTTGATTATTTCTTTATTTTTTCAAATTAAAACTGAACTTTATTGACTGTGTCCTTTTCCAGACTTTTTATTAATTTATTGTAATTAATTATTTGCATGCAATTAAAAACTAATTTTAAACGATGCCAAAGAAGGATAACTTCTCACGCGCCTACATAAGTACACGCACCCATTTTTTTCTATTCGGGTACAACAAGCATGAAAGAACGCAATGCAGAAAGCTTATTCGTTACAAATCTTAGTTAAATTTAAAAAGGTCAACAATAAATAATCGAGACTTAAGAATTTTAGGATTAATCCCAAATTTTTTACAAATATTAGCACGAAACTGCCAAAATAAACTTTTTGGTCCTTCGAGCAGGATAACACAATGAAAATAATCTACCAACGAAACTATATAAAACAGCTGCATGATTTCTCCTTCTTTCTTCATCAAAACAGCTTTGTTTATTCCAATTCATGTAAATTTAACATCGCACACATTCCTTTGTTTTTCAACTAAAAACCTTCTCTAAAGGACAATGGGCAAAACACACCCAGCTCCACCAACAATGTAATTAGTATGAATCGATAGATCTATGAAAAACTAGCTTTTTTTATTATGACACCGTAAAAAAATATCCTGGGAGTCAAAAGATATGACACCGCAAAAATAAACCTGTAGTCAAAAGACACATGGGCATATTTAAGTAGCTAAATTTTCTCATTGTTCATTTTTATAAACGACTAGCAAACCCAGCGAACTCCGTTTCGCCATCAGATAGCTTCGTTTTATGTAACATTTCGTTTTATGATTAAAAGAAAACGATTTTTTTTTTTAATTTTTCCTGAATTTTCTTTGCTATAAACCTCACGGAGCCCGAGACCTTTCCAACGAATGCAAAACCGTGGAAATCGGTTCGTGCGTTCTGGAGTTATAGCGTCAGGAAGGAAAACCCGACTTATTTTTATATAGTAGATTTTATTGTGCAGAAGCGTCACGAGACCAAGGACGACGGCGGCGAATCCACTGAAGCGCCGCCGCCGGCAGACGCGACGGAACAAGAGGCGACAGAGACAACGCCGTCTGACGCCGAGCCTGATGCCGAGCCTGACGACCAGCCTGATGAAGACAGCGAAGATGCCACTGCCGATAAAGCTACCTCGCCCCCACCTAATTAATATTGCCTGCCTTTCCTAAACGGTACTTAATCTGAAAAGCTTAACTGCACCTTTGCCGAGGTCATGCAGGACTCTTCTACAAAAACCAAAAATCGAAACGCGCTGAAAAATCAGCCGCGAGCTTCAATGTTTCCGGACTTTTACATATAAGTAACAATGACACGCGAGTTAGGTGTAAGCGTTCATTTCCGTTCATATTATTAGAAAATGCGTAAAAATGTACCTGAACAACAATCATATATAGTATATTATTATGCTTTTGTGTACAGAATAAAGAATTGCAACAAGCTAATCTTCTTAAAACATTTGCTTTGAAATATGTAATTTCTCTGACATACGTCGATAACATGTCTTCGGACTACAAAAATCTATCAAATTTTAAATCTTAAGAAAAGATTACTAGAAAAAATTCCACGCGGACCTGGCAGCGGACGGGACTCGAACTCGGTATTATAACGGTCAGTGTATTCACCCGGATAGCGAAGGGTGCGGATTCGAGTCCCGTCTGCTGCCTGGTCTGCGTGGAATTATTTCTAGTAATATTTTAAACATCGAGCAGTTACATGCTCAAAAAATAAAAGTTATAACCTATCAAATTTCTTTAATAAGTATTCATGTTATTCAATGGGCTGAAAGTTCAATATAATTTGCAGTATTTCGACATTTTGTGTTAACCTGATGATCTGTGCCCATAGCACGAACCAATATCGAATTCGTAACGTGTGCGAGTTCGAAATGTCATTGTCAAATGTGTACTGATATTTAGTTCTCGTTACGTACTTTGTGGCGCTGCTGTTCAAGTTTTTATACAAAATTTGACATTGACATTTTAGACTCGCAAACCATTCGAATAGGGATGAAACTATTTTTTTTTCTTCGTTTATCAGGTAGATTTATGAAAAAGTATTGGACACGTCTTTTTCTTTTTTCACATAATATTAACATTGCAGAGAAATATTGATTTGAAAAGTCGCATGACGTCACGTTTTGGTACAATTATCACTTAAAAGTGACGTCACGAGCCCCTACTCCCAAACTTTGACGCGCTATAACTTTGTCATTTTTTGGTTGATTGCCCAAAGAAAAAATACGTGTCCATTATTTTTTGATCATCTAACTGACGGACTAAATAGAAATTCGTTTACTGTACCCCGTCATCACCCTTATTCAATATTGGTTCGTGCTAGGGGTACTGTTGTCCGTGTATAGAGATGTATTCCAATCCATATTGCTAGAAGGAAGCTGTTAATAAAAATACAAGTTTGTTTATATTCTAAAATTTGTATTTTCATTTATTTATTTTTTTATTTATAAATAGTCAATTAGTATGTATATACTTTAACAATAAAATAAAATGAGTAACGGCTTAACTTTGTAGGAGGTGGGGATGGCGAGGTGCCTATACCACCGAGTCTTTGCGGTTCCTGAAACAATACATTAGATCACTGTATTGAAATATTTCACATAATTGTTCGAATTTGATATTTGAGGAGCTGGCGAACAAAACGGTATAAAAGGATATTTGACAATATTAAATATCAAGTGCCAATTGTTATCATATGTATTTAGAATGAATATTGGCAGGAGTTTTTACAATTTTTAAAAAATAAAAATATTCATGGTTTTACTAAAAACCCACGAAAAATATAATAGTTTTCTTATCTTTGTCACGTGACCCAAAACGCATGGGATTGGCGGAGCCTAAAATGATGTCACACGCAAGTAAACTTCCGGTTAAAGTGACATTACATTGTATCGTTTGACGTTTTAATAACAGTCGTGTGACGTCATACACTAGTAAGACGCCATATTGTCCAGAAAAACGTTTTGGCGGCAACTTGAAAATGGAGTTTTTGATTTGGTTATTTTTACTGAAATACACAACAAAATAATGAATATCCACTTTTTACGGACTCTATAAACATTAGTCAATAAGGTGAGATCGTTTTCTAAAACTTGTCGAATACCCTATTACGTATCTGGTCAAACTACTTTTTTTACAGTCCGCAGGTTTCGGGGCCCGTTGAATTTGTATCTCAAATAATTTTCAATCAAAACCAACCTAAAACAGTGTTTAATTTCCTAAATTTACAAATTAAAAACCATGCCAAAACCTCACTGGAGGTATGTCATTCATAGCTCCTGTAAAATTTAATTTTATGTAATTACTAGCTGACCAGCGAACTTCGTACCGCCATAAAAATAGGGGCAGGTGGTAGAAGAGAAAATTTAACGTTGTATGTATTTTTTAATACCACATTATAAAAAAATAAATATGATCCAAAAACAATTTAGGGGTGTGTAACGTAGTGTTCTATCTAATTTCCCGGGATAACATTCCTCCTAACCCATATGAGAACACTACGTTACAATACCCAATAGTTTAAATTTTGGCGCAAAGGCGCATTGTAGGTTACAGAACACTACGTTACAGGTGGAGAACCATTATCACTTAAGGATATGAAAAATAGATAGTAGCCGATTCTCAGACTCACGGAATATGCATATAAAATTTCATAAAAAATCGGTCAGGCCGTTCCGGAGGAGTATGGTAACTAACATTGTGACACGAGAATTTTACATATAAGATACCGTTTTGTTCGCCAGCTCCTTATTTGTTAATTTGATAGCTATATATCCTTATCGTGCTCTATAGGGAATGACAAGGAGAGACTGATGCCAAGTTTACGAATAGCAAATACGAATAGCCATGTGAAGTGTTTATGAAACATCAAAAGGTATCAATTCCAAAAATAATGAGAATATTGATTTAAGAAAAGGTTAAACCCCAATCACCGACGACAAAAAAATAAGTACATTGCTTTATTTCAAGCTACGTAGAGCATAGCTGAGTTCTATGCTTTACATTCTAAAATAAATTAATAAATATTTGAATGACGCCACGTTATCAAAAAAAATAACGCGTGTGTTTATAACCGCACGACTGAAGTGACACTTCTTTAGCTCCATCTGTTTGTATATATGTAATAATAATAATAATAACTTTATTTGGAACAAGTGCAATGTACATAAAATTATGAATCGTTAAATCTGCTTTAGTTTTACAAAAACTGTGTTGCAGAATTAACGCCCATTCCCGTATAATATGAAACAGTGTTCCTATCAATGTATAAAATTATATGTTTATTATATACATACAGATGTGTATCTGTATGTATATATATATACATACAGATGTGTATATACAGTCAAAACCGAATATAACGACGTCGGTTATTACGACCATTAGGCAAGGTCCCGACCGGAACCCTATATAAACCCCTACGTAAACAAACCGCCTATAACAACACCGGATATAGCGAAATATCGCTTAAAACGACATATAGCCAATGAATATTGATAAAGTTCATATCGATACTCATCGGCTATAACGACCAAACGTTTTACTTTTTCCAGCAACACAAAATATACTGTAGATACTTAAATTTTTTCGTAGTAAACTTATTATTTCTCTTTTCGGTATTTTTTTGAAAACAAGCTTATAGTCATTATCTATAACCATACTACAATATGACAATAGTATGACGACTTCTGTATATTGCTTATAACAATTATCCGACATAACGTCCGAAATTATATGGTCCCTTTAATGTCGTTATATCCGGTTTCAACTGTATGTATATATATACATACAGATGTGTATGCACAATATATACATGTATGTACGTATACATATTTCATTTACTAGCTATAAGAGAAAGAGAGAAAGAAAATGTGCGCGCGCACTGCTTTCTCAAGTCAAAGTTTCACCTTAAAAAAAACTTAAGAGCTCGTGGACCCATATTTGGTCTGTGTTAGGTAAGGTAGCTTTCGAATTGTCGGTCAGCAGATGGGGTCCAAAAAATTATTATCTTTTCTTTGCTTCGGAAGGCAAGTTATGTCGTTGGTCCGGCTGCATTAGCAATGGGCCCATCTCGTGGGTCACGGTCATGGCCGAATCGCCCTATTCTACCCATAAAGGAGGCCTGTGCCCCAGTAATGTGGACAATTATAGGCTATAATGATGAAGAAGGAAAACTAAGTGGACTTTGACTTTGATCTGAATGAGGACGGAACTTTGTGTACTGTAGCGGGTTGATAGCTCAGAACAAGACTTAAAGTATAGATACAGTTTAAAGACAATTCATAAAGTAGACTTATATAAATAATTATCTTATTACTTTTATATACAGTGTGAATTTTAAAATACTTGAAACCTCGCAGGACTATTCTGCTTATATCTCTGCAACAACGTTTGTTCTACGAGTTTTAACATAACTCAATACTTTGATCAATAAAGAAATTCTAAGTTTTGAAGTTATACTTCTGTAGGCGCGTTATGAAAAAATGATGAGAGTGAAATTTTAAGATGCGCGCGCATCACTGTAACACAAAAAATTAACAGCATGAAGTTAGTCGCTTTAGCGACCAACTTCATGGTGTTACTTTTGTGTTTACCGCACATTAAGAAAATCTACCAACAAAATAGAAATAGAATCTCTATTTTGTGGGTGCTAACGACTGCATTGTGAAGGCCTATCAAAAGTATTTATTAATCTGGAACAACGGAACCAAAGCGCGATTCAGGAGACTACAGCGCCATCTCTTGACCATTGGTGTAGTAGAACCAAAAACCACATCTTTATTGTTTGTAATAAAGTTACAGTTATAGGTATTCATATTTATAATATTTATCCACATGTTTCTAGTTTGTATATTCGGAATACGTGTTTGAGTTTCATACAAGTGCAAATCACATATGTTCTAATAAATTATATTCAGTAGCGATTTTAATTGAATATTTTGATTATTTACTTATTTTTTCAAATTAAAACTGAACTTTATTGACTGTGTCCTTTTCCAGACTTTTTATTAATTTATTGTAATTAATTATTTGCATGCAATTAAAAACTAATTTTAGACGATGCCAAAGAAGGATAACTTCTCACGCGCCTACATAAGTACACGCACCCATTTTTTTTGATATACTGTCGTGATAT